TTTTCCCTTGGGGTGACATTTGAATATTAATAGTTTCCCCCTCCTCCTGTGTTTTTTCTTCCTTGTCGCCAAACAGCAAAAAAAGAGGAAGGCCCAGCCGCAGGACACACGAGGCGGCGCCAAGAAATACAAAGAGTTCAAGTTCTAGAGGAGATGAACCAAAACGAAGCTCAGCGAGAGAGTCGTCCACCGCAGGAAATGAAAGAGGAAGAGGCAGATTTGAATTTCAGAGGATGCACACTGCAGCACCGATCATCTGTTAGCGCTTTAACAGTAAACCGTAAATCAACAGCGTGGGCGTGTCTCATGTAGTCAGTGTCACATGACTGTGGCAAGGTGCATTTTTCTGTGTTGAACTTTTTAAGGTCTTGGTTATGTTTTTGTTTTGTTTTTTTCATAGTAACCATGTTTTTTTCTGTTTTTTGTAAATAAATGACGTGACAACACGAGTTCACAATCTTACTGCCTCCAGGTTTCTGTTTCATTTCATTGCACTCTTTGGGGAGGTGTGATTACACGCTGGTGGTAAAATGCAAGACATTTTCCCCATCTGCGTCAGCTGAAGTATCGGGACTTTAGACTTTGAACCTTAATGACCTGTACTGTCTCTGTGAGGCCTTTGCTTCCACTGAAGCTGCAAAATTCCTGCCTCTGAGTTTTAAGGCTGCTTCTGATCACTTCTGTTTACCGCCAGAATATCCATATCCAAACAAGCTCAGACCTAAGATAAAAGAGCCCGATATGTTTATATATTCTCCACTTTGGCTATTAAACACAAGTGGCCCAGAAAGAAGGCTTAAAAAAATGACTTTTAGAGCAAGAAATCTTTACTTAATCTCACCAACTTATTCCTCTAACATATTCCTATTAGAAGTTCGATGCAATTGTATTTATTTGGTGCTTCACAGTCAGGTAAAGTGCAAATCTAAAGGTCCATCGAGCAGCACCTCGAGGTGTTTCTATTGCTAATTTATTTTTAGCATTAACAGACTATTGGCTGTTCTACATGGCTGTCTTGGCCGGCAGCCCAGGAACCTTTCAGAAGTACTCCAGGAACTAATGTGGGCTTCCAAAGCCATCACCCTGGATGGACCCGAGTCAAAAGAGCTTTCCATCGACAGTGAATGGAATAGGAGTACAAAGCTGTTTGCCTCAGATCTTCAGCAGATCTGTCACATAAAATCAGCTTGGACCAAGGTGGTCAGGGAAGCACACATCAGCAGGGGCCAGCTCAGACTTCTAAATGAGGTCTGAATCTCAGAGAGTAGGATGTAGTTCAGGTTTCTGCAGCTAGGAGGCAAACGAGTACTGAACATGACGGTCAGCTGACCGTCTGAGAAGCACAGTGACCTAAATAACTGCAGCAGCTTCATGCTGACTCGGTCACTGGTACACAGCTTCTCACATGGAGCAACAGCCTGTTCACATCAGATCCTTTAACCATCCTGAGAAAGGCAGCAAAGCACCAGCATTCCCACTACGGCAGAGGTGTGAGGACAAAGGACCACAGCTTTCTTAATAGGCTGCTATTACTGAAGAGCAGCTTAGAGGGTCAGTTCTGTAAATGTGTTGAATCTGACATTTGAGGATGTCTCCTTCACCGATGTGACTGAAACGTTACTCTCAGTGGGCCATTTAGAGGAAATAAGACTTTGATACTGCTGACAGAGCCATCCATCCAGGCACGGCGTCTGCAGTCGCTGTACTCGGCCTCACTTACTAGGAACTTTGCAAATGCACACAGACTTCTTTCAGCACTTCCCTGTAACACATGGGGGAAATATGCAAGGTCTGGCTGTTTATTTGCAATCTTCCTGTGTATTCTAAAAATAGACAAATCAATAATCACTGGTGCTGCTTATGTAATGTGAATGTTTTATATGTGTTATATAAACTTACTATTTTAAGGGGATTTTTTGTTATGTTTTTTTTTGCCAAAAGAAACAATATAAGCACTTTTTAACTACTTTTATCATTTTAGATCTCTAGCAATAATCCAATCAGCCTGATATAATAGCATGCACTGGTGTGGTTACTAAATCTGTCACAAACACAGACGAGTGTAACGCCTCTCCACCGCATGCACACACCGCACAGCTACATGGCTGCTGTACAGTAAAATGGGAGCTGGAGTTGAAGTTGCATAAGAAACGGTGTCGACTTAATTGACTGTGACACTGGATTTTGGAGCCTTTACAGTGTCACTTGATGACTTTGCAGATTTAGGCCGCTGTGTAAAAAGTAACCTGGGATTATCCCGTGACCATGTTTTAATCTGCTCCATTCTAATCTCTTTATCAATGGCAGGAGGTGCTGGTGGTGACAGAAGCTTGTTAAAAAGAGCAGAGGGGAGGAGGGGAGGGTGCTCTGTGTTTACGCAAATCAGCTGATTATCCCAAAAACCAGTGAGAACTAATGACAAGTCCAAACTCTTTAACATGCACTCCCTGCTTAATATTGGCTAAAAAAGAAACACTGAAAAGTACGATATAAGAACAGATATGTGTTTTAATCATTAAATCTTAATGTGAGAAAAATAATATCTGTGTGCTTTAAAGCCTTTTAAATATTTACAAAGAGTTTTGAGATGTCCCACATCCTCTGAATGCAGCATAATCTAGGAATAGAAAAAAAAAAGGGCCAAAACATGGCTCTATAAATTTTTCATTAAAGTGCAGTTATGTGCGTATCCTCGGGCTGTCGTGAACATTTCGAGCGCGTAATGTTTTTGTAAGCTCCGATCACAGCTGGGATAATCTGCCTGTTGAGAGACGTCAAGCTGATGGCAGCCGGCCCCGGCTGTGATGCTGCCATTAGGTCACCTTCTGATTCATATTCAGATGCAGAGATTGTAATCAGAGCAGTGCCTTTGTCACCTGAAGGTGCAAACGCTGCACCTGCTTCACGCTGCACTGACAGGCAGCCAAACCTGGAGGAGGCTCAGCATGGTGGCTTTTGTGTCAGAGGGTGGATGGCTCGCACAGCAGTGCAGTGGGGTGTAGGGAAAAGGCCTGTTTGTGTGTGTGTGTTTCTGTTTTCTTTGTGAGTTTAAAGCCACATGCAAACAAAACTGTTTTGCCACTATATGAAAATGAGCCAGCTCTTTGCTGAATATTAACTCTGATGTCTTATCTGGCAGATCTTGGAAACTGTGAAGAGAATGAGAGGAAAGCAATCTCAATTCACACACTCTAACCGGTTTTGCATATTTCTCATAACAGCTGACAGAGCATAGGTGTGTGTGTGTGTGTGTGTGTGTGTGTGTGTGTGTGTGTGTGTGTGTGTGTGTGTGTGTGTGTGTGTGTGAAATAATCTACACGTGTGTATGACTAATGGGAATCATTACAGGAGCGCCTGAGACTCCAGACGGTGTGCAATATGGGTCAAAAACAGAGCAATTTGCAAAAGGATCCTCAGTAAAACACCTGAGTGGGGCCTTCGTAGTACAGGAAGCTTTACAGTAAGAGGTGTAAGAAAAAAACAAAACAAAACATTGAATCATGGGTAAATATTACCTCTGGACCTTCTTTAGGATTTGAATTAATGCATATGTAAACAGGAAGAGGTGTTGCTTCAGTGTGTGTTATTTGTATAATGATGATCTTTGCCAAAAAAGAATGTTTTCAGTTTTAGATCTGAAACGTTGGACAAACACACAAACAAACATCATCCCACTGACCTAAAAGATGTTTCGTTTTAGCTGTTCATGTCCTGAACTGATCCTTTTAGTTACACGCTGTTACTGTGGGTAATTAAAGGCATTTCTCCAGGAGCATGTGCCACCGTTGAACACACACAGTAGGTTATAAGCTAAATTCCTGTAATGACATTCTCTAAGTCAGAAGGACACTCTTGCTCCCTCTTTCTTCATCAATTCATATTTTAAGTTTCTTTTTCAGGCTGACCTCATACATTATTCCTGAGAATATACATCGGTATGCAAATCCTGTAAGCACAGATATAATCAGACGTACTTGTTGTTCCTGTAGTTTAGCTGTAGTTCCTGTAGTAGCTTTCAGGCCCCTCTTCTGTGGAACCAGCTCCCAGTTTGGATTCAGAAGGTGGGCACCTTCTTCACTTTTAAGATTAGGCTTAAAACTTTCCTTTTTGATAAAACATATAGTTGGGTCTTGATCAGGTGACAATGAATTCTCCCTTGGTCATGTTGCAATAGGTTCAGACTGCCAGGGGATTCCCATGATGGGCTTTTTCTATTAACCATGTGTCTATACACAACTCTGCATTAAATTATTAGCAATTATTTAGTGTTTCATTTTGTCCTGTTTCCTTTCCTGGTCCTGGTTCTGCAAAATGTTTCTTCCTGTTGAAAGGGAGTTCTTTCTTTCCACTGACACCAAAGGCAGAAAACTCCATCTGATTGTTGGGGTTTTCTCTCTAGTATTGTTGGATCTTTACCTTATAATATAAAGCACCCGGAGGCTACTCTTGTTGTGAGTTGGTGATTTGCAAATAAAATTGAACTGAACAATAAAAAAAAACTAAGGCTATAATCCTTAATGTAAAAGAGGGACAACCAAAGTGTATTTAAAAATATTACACTGGACTATAGTCCAGTTTACATGCATACATACTATCATACACTATTACCACAGAATAAATTATAATTAAAAGATTAAAATAAAGTAAGTACATTTGTAAAACTTGCTAACATTATTACTACCACTTCTAATAATCACATTCCAATCCTCATAAAGAACCAAATAAAACAAGTGGAAAATGTAAAATATATTTTAAAATAATAATAAATAATAAATACATGTATAATAAAATGAATGTTATATTATTATTAATATTATGATTTAATTAATTTCTCCATTGGTGGAGTTGCATGCCTTCATCTAAACAATAAACTAAAATAAATAGTAAGCTAGCAAATTTAAATGTATTAAAATATATAATGAATATAAAAATGTAAACAAAACATATTTAAAATAGAAGAAAATAAAAAATGGAAGAGGTGACAAGACAAATAAAAATACGATATACTGAATAAGTTTAAAACTAAGGAATTGAGTCTGCAGTGGTGAACAAAGTGCGTGCGGCGTTCAAACGCAGTAACAGCAGCAGCTGTGATTGGCCGGTTCCTGTCTGTGAGTCTCGCGCTCAGGAGTCGCTCTACGTCCTCAGTAGAGGCGTTGCTCTCGCTGCTCTCTGCTCATTGTGCGACTTTGGCGAGAGAAATTTCCGCTTCCTGCACCGATAAACACCAGCGGCGAACACACACCGAGCCGACACCAACTTAAGCAGAGGGAGAGACGGAGAGAGCCGCGGGGATTTGCCGCCTGCCGTCCGGTAGAAACCCCGGAGACTGCGATGTTTTCACTCTCAGGCGGAGATTAGCACTTTCCTGTTAGCGCTTCGCTCGCCTGCACCATCCGGAGCCTGAAAAAACAGGCAAAGCGAAGCGAGGAGACGGAGCTACAGCACCAGAGGAAGGACGACACACAGAGAAGGCAGACTACTACGGGTATTCTCCCCATTAGCTCCTTGTGAAAGCCCGTTTTCAGCCTCCAGGATGTCGGAGCGAGGAGGGCTCCCGCGGACTGGGGGCGTCCCTTCGCCGCACATGCAGCCCTCCAAGCCGGTCAGCATCTCCAACCGGCCGGTCCATATGAACCTGTACGCTACCTGGGAGGTGGACCGCTCCTCGCCCAGCTGTGTGCCGAGGTATGTGCAGGGGAGATGGTCGGGCTTAGCGTTACTTATCGCTTTTTGGTGGGGTGGGCTGGTTGTTGTGAATGGGAAGTGACCCAGTCAGTGTGTTTACACTGGGGGATTGCAAACACATAGACACCCACGGGTGCCTATTTAGGAAGACTCATTGCACTGATGGCTGTTGTGGTGTTAACAAACTGGTAGATCCCTTTAAACCCATTAATTAAGAGGCTGCCTCCAATAGCACTGGTGTTACCCTGTGACTGGACCTCTTGTTCGCACTTTTGTGGTCCCCAGCCCTCAGCTCGATCACTGTACGACCCTGCTCTTAAAGATGAAAGCAGGCTCCCTCGTTATTTCTGATCCCTACAGCAGGTGCTGCCCAAACAGCCTTAGTTGTTGCCCAGCTGATCAGCGCAGACAGACAAAAGATTGATGAAGCAAGCTGACCGTCGCTGCAACTGTAGAGAGCCACTTTGCATCCATTTATTATACAGCTGTAACAGTAGCTGGTGTGATGTGTGAGTCTGAGGGAGAAGACAAAGCCAGGGATCATCTTTGAGGTGCACCCACAACCCGAAACGTCTTGTTTAGTGTCATATGCCTGCTCAGACTTTCACTGCTTCTCATCATGTGATTGGTGTGTGTGTGTGTGTTCATAAGGGCAATGCAGCAAGGTCATGTTAGGAGAGACACCTCATCCACCTCTAAGCTCTGCCTCAGACAAAGACACTGAAGCGTCTCACAGCCACTCTACAAGGGGTGGGCTCACAGAGGCAGATGCACGTGGTCATGTGTCCTGTGATAATCAGGTGTAACCTAAATGAACACGCTCCAGCTGCAGCTTGTCTCATTGTTCTTTTTATGGCGCTTAAGTGATAATCCTGGTCATAACAAGTTCGATTCAGGGTCAAAGGTTAACTGCTACTGCTGAAGTAGCGCTTGTGTTTTCCAATGTCAGCTAAGCAAACAGTTGGGGAGCTGCTGCAGCATAAAAACGTGCAGGGACTTTCTGTGAAATCACGTCAAACGCAGTGCTTTTCTCCATAAGCCTGAGTCGCATCCTCATCCAGATGAGCGCAGATGTTTAGGTGACTAAAAGCAATTAGTGGGGAATAAAGGCTCCATGGTCATCATCACACAAAGCCCACATGCTGACACCCTAATGCTGCTTTCTGAAATGCTCTGGGGCTTTACTGGTTTTAGAAGCAAAGCCTCAAAAGTACGCTTGGCTTCTTAGCGGTCTGCAAGTGTGTGTGTGTGTGCACCTCAATGACACAGCTGTAAATCTATGTCTTGGAATTGGCTCTCTTAACTATAACACCCAGTGTTTTTCTGCACATTAAATGTATTTCCCCCCTTTAGTTTGAGATGATTTTTACCAGTGTCTTCAGCTGATTTTTTTGAGTAGTTTGGCATCGTGCTGCAAAATGCAATTGTGGACTTTTTCTATTTTTTTTTTTTTATTCCACCCTGCAGCCGTCACGGCCCGTCAAATATCTTCGATTTCACTGCAGTTTCAGCAACATTGAGGCAGGCAAGGAGGGGGAAAAAAGGAGGGTGGCAGAGAAACGGAGGATGACACTGGGAGATGGGGAGTAGCAGCACTGACTCTGTCATCTACATTTAAATGGGATTTTTCACAGACACAAGAAACAGGGAAGTCTAATCTGGAGCCAGAAGAACCTGCACACCATGTACTGTGAATCAGTCGCGGGGATGTCTTGCAGAGTTTTGACTGTGGTGTGTTTGCTTCTTGTTCACTGCCTTATTGCCTAATCTTTGTCTCTGCAGTAAGGACTAAGAACTTCCCCTCTCCAGCCGAGGTGGTGTTGCTCTAACCTCTTCCTGTCTACCCAGAATGCCTCCTTGTGTGTTGTTTACACTGAGCTGTGGGTTGCATTTGCCCTGGCAGGAGCACACATCCTGCTTATCCTGATATGTTAAAAGAAATCTGGACCTGCTCTGTATTTATAGGTGTTTACATACCCACCCAGACTCACTGGCCATGTGGCTCATTTTTTTTGTTGGTTTTATTTTTTGCTCATATTCAGAGGGGAGTTGACAGGAAATACTTGTGACTGATATCAGAATGAGAGATGATATCAGTTGTTTGAGCAGCCAGGAGTCAAACTTTCATTTTCTGCAGCCAAAGCAACGAGTACAGCAGCTGCTCCGGCAGGCCTGACACTTCACTCCATGAACGCAGAGGCAGGGGTAGCGAATAGAGATCAGCAGCTCTCAGGTGCGCTCGTTGTCAGGTGGAATGTCGGATCGTGCCCACTCATGTTGCACGCTGAACATGGTTTGGATTCCAGCGCTCAACAGGAGTGTAGTCAGAGGCTCTTTGTGTAGCTGCTCTACGACAGGTATTCCAGGAATTGGTTAGAGCACCGACATGATCACCTCGCATCGTTAAAGAAGCTGAGCTGAGGGGGAAAGTCCCATGACTCGGGTCGCTGGGTGGATCGTGGGGATTTTTGCTCAGTGTTTCACTTTGGCTTCTAAGGAGAAAGCCTTCACGAGTACCGTGCCCCACTGACCCCACTGACCCCTCAACACCAGGCTTTGTCCATTTGCAGGCTGCTGCCAAGGGATTGGTCGGACTTTCCACTGTGGCCGCTCAAACAATAACTCAGACCGAGTTCACCTTAACAAAGAAAAAAATTAATCATGTTGTGAAACCTACTTAATGGGGCATTAGACAAGAGTTGGCTGATTATGAGATTAATAGAGTCTAATACAGGCTGTTATTGTCCTATTAGAAATGAAGAGCTTTTGCTATATAGGGCTGCCTGTTGTTGAATACGAAAAGACAATGCAGAAGAAGTTTGCCCAGAACAGCAGCTCCATTCCTTATTATTAAAAATGTGTTTGGTACTGCAGCAGAGCAGATGGTGGTCATTTGTGAAACATATTGCTGGAAAGTTGGGGGTATGGTATAATCAATCCCACTGAGACAAGTTGTTTTAGAACAGAGGTGTCAAACATGTGGCCCAGACAGTGCAAAACGTGGAAAATGCAATGAGTAAGTGTGAACTTTTAACTGTGTTTTATTCCTACGAATGGATCAGATCCAAACTCATCTGTCATATTACGCCTGAACAGGTAATAGAAACACCTTCAAAAAATACAAAACGAGGTGGCTTTTTACGATGAATGAATCGATAGACAAGTTCCTGTTTTATTCTCTTATTATTGTGACTCTACAGCAAAAAAAGGACATCTTTGAATAAACAGTACATTTTCTGTATGTATTTGTTAACCTATAACCCCCTCAGCTGAGGTGTGTAATGGATTTAGTCTGGCCAACTCTCAAACTGGTCGGGATTAGTTTTAGGAATCTAGTTCATGAAATGCAAAGGTTTTCAGAAGGTTATTAGTCTTCTGGCTCACCTTAGTTCAGATTTAACTGTATGTGGCTCCTGTAATAAATGGGCTTGACACCTCTGTTTTACAGCCTACGTTTTTTTAGGATGTCCCCTCTTTAAGCCGGCTTTTTTCTGATTTGCTGCCCCTCGAGTTCTAATCATCAGTAAGGTCTTTCCTGTTCACAGCCAAAACTGTGAACCTGAGATGACATTGGGGAAATTTCCAGTCGCTGACATCACACAGAGCCAAGAGTAGGCAAAAACGTTTTTTTACCCTTGGAACCTGAATATATGCTGCTGTTATTCCTGGGTATCTTTTTCTTTTTAAACCATCAGAGAGAGAAAAAACAAAAATTATTTATTGATTAACTACACGTCGCGTCTCGAGCATTCATTGTATCCACTTTAAGTTGGCTAAGAGCTTCATAATCCAGCTATTTAAGTCAGCTTCTTAGAAGAGAATCAGCCTGACGCCCAAACGTTGGGAGCTAAACACACAATAAACAGTATAAATAAGTGAAAGCAGCGAGGTCAGTGCATTGAAAATAAATCTGCTGCTCTGGTAATGAATACTGTTGGCGTGAGGAAGTGTGCTGCAGAAATGCAGGATGTTCTGAATTATACATTGTGTGTTTGTTCGACTCGTTCGCTGTAATTGCCCCGCGATACAATAGTGGACGTCACGTTTCTCGAGTGTCAGCGTTACATTATCCTCCCCCCCCCGAACCCTTGCACGCACACCCCTCCCTCCTCTAAACATCGGCTGTTGATCGCGCACACACAACTGGAAAGAAATGGAAAGAGCGCCGACAGGCTATCACATACGAGCATGCTCACAGGCAGGGTGACAGGGCGCTTCATTAAGGAGCTTTGGCTTTGCCGCTCCCTTAGACACTTCTTTTTTTTTTTTTCTTTAAAAGCTGAGTGGCCGAAAAGGTCTGAAGTTTCCTCCGCGGCTCGGCTCGCCTGTTGGAGATGAAGGGAGACGGAGCGTAAAGTATAAACCTCTTCACCCAACTTGCCACCATTATTTACTATTTCCGCCCGTAGCCTTCCAAGCACAACTCCTCAGGGAAAGCTGGAACACGATGGCATGCAGTGCATGACCATTATTGACTGTAATGATGTTTATCCAGTGGTTTTCCAAAATACACTGGAATGTGTTTTTCCCAGTGGTATTGGGAAGAAAAATGTGGCAGTTTGGAAAAAGATTTGCTGGTTAAATGTCTTTCTCAGCTGCTTGAAGGCTGACAGGCAGAGAAACCTTTAACCCTGCTTTAAAAAGCTGCTAACCCACTCAAAATTTCACCGTTACGCCTTTTTTCTGCTGTAATTCTGCACAGTGAGACGAATCCTCTTTTGCAGACCTTGCTTAGATTGAAATTTGCTGGGTAACAGTGTCAGCGGAGAGGCCTGATAACGACTCGGAGGAGAAATCTCAGTATCACACCAAGGAACCTGCTTCTGATTTGGCACTTTCGTGCGACGTACAACTTTGTCTAACAGTGTTGTTTTTATTATTATTCCTTTTCCATTTTTTGGTTAAAAAGACTCCTCGAGTATATAAAGAAACTTTCAGAGCCTTGTTGGGGAACGTTTCCCCGCAGTGCTGTTCCCAGGAGAAAATAATCTCCAGCCTTG